GGCAGACTTGAATTTTAGAGTAACCCAGGTATTTCCCTACAATTTATATTGGGATTGTCAATAAGACAAATTTGTATTGTGTCATTAGAGTCGATTGCGTTAATTATATTCATTACAATGTATTTCCCTTATAAGATTATATTTATTCGAAGACGCAATCGTAATTTAAATATTTTTGACAAACTTGTGTTTGTCTCATCACAGAACAAACTTTGGTACATATTTACTTAGTAGCTTTGTAAGTTATCGCAACCCTATATTTTTTAAAATTCCAATCTTATTGAATTAATAAAATTGACATTTTATTTAATTTAAAAAACAATTTCTTTCATATGATGCCATCCTCCACTTTACCTGGATTTCAGTGGCTTCAAGTGAATTCGTACGAACTGTCGTTGACTTTTCGGGCAATGAATCAGATGATGAACTTTCTTTTAGACGTTCTGACATCATTCGCGTCATTGGGCGAGCCCATCCACCTGGACAGACCTCACCTTTCACATTTAATGCTAAAACGACTGTATCTATATCTTCACCAAATGCTGAGGCAAGCATCATGAGAGAAAGCCACATAGACGATGGGTGGTGGGAGGGCGAACTTCTTATAACGATCGAGAATAGTGATGGTAGGTTGATTTTTAGTTTGAAGACACGTTGTTTTTATGTTAACTAATTTTTACATTATAATATAAGTTTAGAATTTGTTTGACACTGTTTTCGCAAATTGGTCATATTGGTAAGAAGACTTAGAGGAACGCATCTAGCCCAGAGTCCATTGTAGGCATGATAATTTCCAAAGTCGAATCGTGGATGTGCTGCATTTCCAGACGTTTCACTGGCATCGTCAGTGAATCTTGCCATTCTTAGCACCATACTACAACAAGTCAAAGAGAAATGAAGCCGATCTTTTGACGAAACGTGTGCTAAACAGTTGAGGTATCTCTCCTGTCCTGGGCTATTCACATTTCCTATATCCTCGTATCACGCCTTCACAATCACAATTTTTCCTTGCTTATTTAAATCTAGTGTAGTGTGCCCTTTTGAGCGGTTTTCATGAGGAAGCTCCACATTCAATGCTGGCGTTCTTACCCTCTTCACCCTTGTGCTAAAATGTTGATCAGATTCTGCCATATTGTTACGCAGTCCTCCTTCCATAGGTTTTATCAGTGTCCTTTCCACAACATTTGTGGGTTGGGACACAAGAGGCTATAACATAGGAAGTAATAGACATGGTATTATGGATAGAAACAGGATAGACACGGTGGAGACTAGAGCTATTTGGCTAACAATAGATGTATTTGATCATAGACTTGATTCATGAAGCATGTCTATTTTTAGCCAACTAGCTCTAGTTTCCACGATATCTATAGTGTTTCTATCCGGAATACTAAGTCTATGACTTGCCATGCCCTAGTCTCCTGTATGCCAACCCACAAACTTTGGGGTTCAACATTGAATCTAATCAAAACAAGCAGTGCCACAACATTTGTGGGTTGGCACACAAGAGACTTGGGCATAGCAATTCATATACTTGGTATAATGGATATAAATAGGATAGATACAACTGAGGCTATAGCTAGTTGAGTAAAAATAGACGTGTTTCATGGATCAAGTCTATGATCAAACGTCTATTGTTAGCCAACTAGCTCTAATCTCCATTGCGTCTATCCTGTTTATATCCATCATACCATGTCTATCACTTGCTATGTCCTAGTCTCTTGTGTACCAACCTACAAATGTTGTGGTTCTACTTGTTGGGCTCATTGAAAACGTCTCCTCTTGGCTTCTGATTGTTCATTTCTCGTCCCCCTGCGATTTCTTTTCCTAAAATTAAGGATGTTACCTTGCTCCAGTTGTCTTATTTTTGCTGATTTTGCCGTTGTCTGGTCTTCTCCGAGTTAGGCAATATGTTAAGTTTTCGCTGATTCTGCCTTCTTCAAGTCTCTTGTTCATTAGATTTCTCTCGGTCAGTATATCTATGGCCTCTCGGATATTGCGTTTTCTCATATTTTGACCATATGGAACCTGCCTTTCGGTCGATTTCCAGTTACTTTTGTGCCCCGTTCGTGCAATGTGTTCCGCTTTTTCGTATCTCCGTATCTATGTTCCTGTAGAGTCTTTTGGTGTTCCTTGATATACTTCTGCTCACAGTTGCCGCATTTGATGCGATAAACTCCTTTTATAACCCCTACATTTTTTCTATAAACTCTCTTGGGTACATATTACTTAGGCAAATCCGTGAAAGTTTATCCAACTCCTCGTCCCAGAACCTAGTGTCCGTTAAGTCGTAAGCTTTGATGATCAAACTCCTCAGTATTCCTATCTCCAGTCTGTAGTTATGGTGAGATTGAAAAATAAGGATTATTCCCGCATATGAATGCTTCATGTACAGTCTCCTCCTTTGTGTCCATTTGGAGCGCATGACTTCAATATCCAGAGAGGGCAGTCGTTCATCGTTCTCCACCTTCATAGTGAATCTAATTCTTTAATCAAGTTGGTTAATGAAATTGAGGAATTCATTTAGATTTCCCTTACCATGTGACCATAGTGCAAAAATTAAGGGACCACATCGGTAGTCCAAATATTTGCTCATAGATACTGCCGTTAATTGTAAAATATGTGGTCCTTACTATCAGGTTGATCAGTCGTGTCAACAGTTCCTTCCGTATCCGTTCTGCCTCTAGGATATCATCTTCTCACTCCAATATCTCCAGTAAGGCGCTTACCCCCTTCTCATATGAGATATTTGTGTACATGGATTGTACATCGAAACTCACCAACAGTTGCGACTCCACCAACCCAATGTTCTGGATTCTTTGAGGAAATTCATATGAATCCGTTATGTTGACAACCTCCACCAGAATATCACTAAGAACATTTCCTTCGTTACCTAGGGAAAAATTTAACCCCTTTTTTAACAGATCCATAGCTTCAGAATCAAGAGGGATTGAATTTAGGTTTACCACCGTAGTCCTCTTGTCGTCTGTAGCAGTTGATGCCTTTAATAGAGAAGCATCAAAATTTGCCCAGATTGGCCTTGTAATGTTGCTTATCAAATCCCGTTCCCTCTGACTTTTGGTCTGTCATGCTCTGGAGTTTTTGAAAATCATCCAAAGTGAGAAACATACCTAGATCCCTCCTTAATCTAGACTTGATATATATGAACTTAAATTGCTTAGACCTCTCAGTCCCGTAACTTTTCTCTAATTTCTGAATGGAGGTGTTATAAAGTATTTCATTAACTGTGCCCGAATCGTCGAAACCTCGCAGTCTTTGATTAGAAATTCATATTATTTCGATTATCTTATAGATACTCTTTTGATGAGGTTCGGCGATCTGCTTTTATTTTGTACTGATCTGTAACACGTACCTTCTGGTTCTCGGAGAGCCATTTGTCTGGGCTTTCTATTGGCGGTCATTTGAGACAACACGAGCCTGGTCGGCTATCATATTTTAAGCCAAAGCCTGCTACTGTAGCTTAAGATTTGTGAATTATTAGTTGTCTTTTCTAGAGAGGATTAATCCGATGAGGACAGGCTTGCTACATCAATTTATATTTGGTAATACATTTTCACGTCTGGCTATAGTGAGGGGAACAGCAAAAGATACATAGGCGGAGATATATTCAGCGTCGCTTCAGGTTATTTAGCATGATATCAGATTCGTGAAATTACAATAGGTTAATGAGTGAATATTACATTTTTATTTCGGTGGCAGTCCCCTTTCGATGTCCATGGTTCAACGCTGGGAATAATTATGTTTTTATCGAAGTTATGAAGACCAAGATGGTGTGGCCTTTTGTGTGGTCGCAGTCTCCTTTCGTTGTATAGA